CATTCAAGTAATTCAATTGAAAATGCAACTCAAACTCAGTAGCAGTCAAGTCGTGAAATACTATCCCATCCTACGGCACCTCTTTATCAGAACCTCCCCCCCTCTCTCTCTCTCTCTCTCTCTCTCTCTCTCTCTCTCCGGGCTGACAACGCAACACTTACGACTACAGTTGAGGACAGTTACCATATACTTGTGGTGTTCCTTTTTCTCTGGAAAACCATCTGTGGTCGAGGGTACAGCTGAACGACCACTCCGTCCTTTCTGAAGATTCAGTGTATTGTAGCCCCTTTTTTAAATTATTCTTGTTAGTAACTCCATTCTTCCCCACGCTCCTGAATGGTGCTGAAGCAAAAAGAGCAAACGCGACGACGTTGATATTGTTGATCAACGATCGCGGAAGCAGATGCACATGAAGTAACAGTACTGGGAGAATTGGTCTGCAGTGAACTGGATATCGTTCACAAGCTGTTATTACTATAAGGTTTCTTTTTCAACAATATTACGAGAATCTTAGAGCTACTCTTTTAAGAATGTTATTGCGGAGAGTATAGTCTTATGATTAATAAGAAATACTGTCCAGATCAAAGTTAAAAGCGTCTAAAATGGCGGTAATTGGCGGAATGAAGGCCAACAAGCACGGATTCCAAGCAAATATACTTGGTTATAGACTTGCAACTTAAATCTAGTTTTAATGTTACATTTAAACAACATGACTTGTGTTCAGATTTTCTTTCGGCTTCAGCAATGTGTGAAGTTTACCCTAACCTTTCACTTGCCTTTCACACGCTGCGGAGTGTTGGATGAACTGCCTGAACTGCCAAACTACCTGAAGTCACTCATGTGTCTGGGTAGTTTAGGGGTCACCCTAGCTCGTGACTAATCAAAAAGCTTAATTGTTTTAACCACATGGTGCAAATGGACCAATCAGCGTTGAGTATTGGTGACACACGCCCAAATTCGAAATGTTTCGCACAATGTGTGACACCGTCATGCATTAGAAAAATATGGTCAAATTGCCGCGTGAAAGAAATCTTACTATTTGGCGCCATGTTAGTAGATAAAATCTATTTATGCAGAATGACCAATAAGAGTTGAGTACCATCTAAAAACAGCGCCAGACAACCAAGGAGTATGACTTGGCATTTAGTTTTCTCTTACGCTGTAGAATATTACTCCTCCATGAAAAAGTCCAAATCCAGTCAGTGCATGACAGGACGAAAAACGCGTGCACTGTAAGTACCTCCTATTGTCCCACACTAAGCCTTAGCAAAGTTTTCTAAGGCTTTGTATGGGACAACGAGAGGTACTTACAGTGCACGCGTTTTCCGTCCTATCAATACAATATAATACAATACAATAATCTTTATTTAACGAAGGTGACGTAATTAACCCAATGAGTTATCTAACTTGCGGCCTTCATAACAAACCCACCATCCCACTTCAGGGGAGGACATCCATCACGCAGTAATCTCGTGTGTGGGAAATTTACGTCTCCTACCCCAACCCTGCAGGAGACGGGACCTCCATTTATTCGTCCCTATCCGAGAAGACTAGAATATCTAACCATTTCTTGATTTTATAGAAAGGTAGCAAATTCTTCTCAATCATTTTAAGACCTTGTGTTGGTCCGTCCGGGGCTCGAGCCCTCGACCTCCCGCACAACAGTCCAGCGCCAATTATGCAAAAAAGTCGCGCACACTTTAAGTTACATATTTGCGTATCGCATGGCAAATTGATGACTCGTGAACACGCAAGGGACTGCCTACTTCTCTGCCCAGTCAATATACTGGGTAGACAGCCAGTGAGCATTTAGCTAAGATTAAATAAGTACCTTAAATTAACAAGCTTCTAGTGCCTAGGTCTTTACCATATCCTGGGTTGGATAACGAAAGGGCAATTATCTACAATGTATGAAGTGATTAAATCTTGAAACAACTCAAATATCGCTGCGCCTCGCTAGTAATTATACAATTCATTTCGGGCAAAATCCACGTTATGTAAACGATACATCTCAGAAATCACAAGGAAATATTAACCCATATAGAGCGCTTTTCTTGTCGTAAAACCGAAGGAAAATACTCTGAAAACTCAGTGAACACTCAAGTAAAAGCCGCAACTGCCTATAGCAAGGGAAAACGCGCGCAACCAATTCGTCATTGGTGTATGTTTTGTATCTGATTGGTTGAGGAGTGGCGCGAGTTTTCTGGACCAATCACAGAGCGAAATGCAGCGAAACCCATGCATTTCCGGATTACTCTCGACACTCAATTAAAGAGAGCTCTAAAAAGTATGGGGTTCGCAACACTCGGACCACCATACAAAGTATAATCAGAAACATTCTTTACCCATATTTCTCCCTGAACTGAGGGCAGATTATCGACCAAAACTGCACAGGGTGCAACGAATAACCCAATCGCATTTAAACCACCACTAGTCCCACCAGCACGATCTCCATCGTCAGAAGACATCAGCCTCCAGTTCATGCAGATATTCCTGTTAGGGGAACGATTTGCATCATACCACACACCGATTGGAGGACTTCCGTGTATCAATCGTCAGTCACCGTACACCCCAGCACTTCTACGTGCAGAACTTCACAAAGTGGCTGTTACTGATGCAGTGGATGTGATCTCAAATGAAGAACTCGTTCAGTATTAAGTTGTTGCCTTCTGAGACAGAGCTTAAGGAATGGTCATTATTTATCGCCTGGGGGATGGTTGGAGAACTTTGGTTGTACATGGTAAAATTTATAAGTGTGATCCCTCCCTAAGGGAGGATCGTATGGTTTTCAGGTGGAACGGAAGAGAGATCAGTAGTCGCTAACAGATTATAAAGGGGGAACTATAAAAAATTGAGTGCCACTTAATTGCCAATGAGGGGGGAGAAGATCATATATATTACAAAACAAAACAAAACAAAAAAATCGGGAGAAGAACAACATATACAAAAGGACGCGAATAAATGGCGGGAAAACACACGCGGGTACATTCGGCGCGAAAATCGAAACAAAGGGCGCGATGATCTATTAGGCAGTTAAAATTGCTATCGCAAACTATTTTGATAAATTCTCTACCTCAGTTTATTGAAATAGTTCTGACAAACAATTGATTTGTTTAAAAAATTACCAACTTCTAAATCGAAACGAACTTTTCAAACACCCAGTAGTGATAGGCTATTTGAAACCAATTGTGAATTGGTCCCCTGTTTTATCATTGCATTAGCTGCTTAACATGTAATAACTTTGACTTCTCATCGGCTGCCTATGATGTTTCCCGCTTTCCTCTGATTAGTGATTAGGTATTCCACAGTGATTACCTTGGCTTTGGTTCCTCGTAGCCAGGTGAAAATCACGACAGGTCTAAGTTGAGCCAATTTCTCTTTCTCCTCACATTCAACTTCGGCTCGCTTTTCTGTTGCCTGCCAAAAAGGATTAAGAAAAGAAAAAACTTCATAGCTTTGCAGGTTGCCATGTAATAAATCAAATCAAGTGCTTAATACCAGCTTCATCTGCATCTGTTTTCATTAGGGTTCATTAGATTTCTCAGTTTAATTTCATTTACACAGCTGACTAACGAAGAAGTTGATAATTTTGATGACGAGCAAAGAAACACAAGTAGAAACCCAATTTTGGCAGCCTAAAATGTAGGAGCCTAATATGTAGGAGCCAAATACTAAGTTTAGCACCTGAGTGTAGTTCAGAGACCGGCCCGTCGGAAGGTTTGTGGCTAGGCGGCTGTTTCTCAATAGTTCAGGTATGGGGACTGTAGGTTTTGAAACCATCGGTCAACCAGAGTTTTCTTTAAGGTTTTAGGGGCCTCTTAAAAAAAGGCCTTTCCTTACTTAACTTTTTTCATATGCTGTTTTGCTGGACTGCTGGCTCTGGTCAGTCAGGGAGGGTTTGTTTTTAAGCTAAATGTGGTTTCGTGAGCTCTTGGTAGAGGTATTCTCAGCGCATTTTTGTCTTGGAGATCAGGCTCATGCTCAGAAGCAGTTCAGCTAGTAGGCTAGATCACTATGACAACAAGGGGTATTTTCAGTTTCCGAAGCAGGGGGGCTTGGAAAGGGAATCTGCGTTTGCTGCGCTTTTGGTTTACATTTGCCTGAAAACCCTTAGTTTGAATAACTTTTTTTATTGAGTAAAATAACCACTCGTAGACTTAACATTAAAATTTAACGCATTTTGTTAGTAAGTAGCAACTTGTATATTGTATAGAGGGTGACACATAACAGTACTAGAAACTGATTAACTGGTGGTCATCTATCCTATTCTATTTGAGTATTCTAAACTCATGCAAGTAAAAAAACGATATATACTTCTATTTGGTTGATATAAGATTCACCTTAATACAGTGCTAAGAAAAAGTTTGGATGGCAGAACTTAGAGAACTAACGGTGCTCTTTTTGCGTATTTCTAAAGGAATAGGATTCTGGGGCTTTGCCCCACGAATATGAAAAGTCCCATCCTCGTTTTTCTGTGCTACTGAGGGTACACTAAGTTGTATGTAGTTCGTATGACAACTGGCTCTGCTATACGAGTTTTAATTTCCGGGAAAAAGCTGGGTTAGGTAACTCGGACATACGGTATCGCCAATACAGGTATATATTTGCTTGCACTGCGACCCTCAACATTTTAAAAAAATGATTAAATAACACTGAACTCTTAATCCCATCCAGACCCTCTTCAAAGAGAGTACTGTTGCTTAGTTCCATTTTTCCGGCCGATGGTAATTTTTTGCATGTATTATGGTAACTATGAAAGCATAATGAAAAATAAATTTACTTTAACTTAGACATTAAATTTACCGAGTGGTTTGTTCAGTGATTAAAAAATTTGGCCAGCTGGCTCTTTGAAAATACGAAAAAGAAAGGACATGGACGAGCATTATTTGCACATAATGACCTTTTTGTGTGATGGACAATTTAGCTGGAAATTTGGAAAAATTGGAAAAACATAAGGACGTTTTCAATTGAGTGTCGAAAGTAATACGGGATATCTTTGGTTTTGCTTTACTTCGCTCCCTCTGTGATTGGTCCAGAAAACCCGCGCCATCGTGCTAACCAATCAAATGAAAAACTATAACCAGTCCCAGCTTGGTCACGCGCGTTTTCCCGCGCTTCAAGCAAGTCGCTTCTTTTTACTTTGAGATATCATTGGTTAATGATGATATCAACCTTAGATGTGATTACTTTGGTTTTGGTTTTCCGACACTCAATTGATCTCAACCGAAAACTGCTTTAACATACAAAAGCCCAAGTAAATGCTAAGTGGCCCTAATCAGGGCCAATTTGCATCAACTAATCATGTTTTAGAAAACTAGAAACCATTGCCACACACACTTAAGATCTTTTTCCTGGTGTCCAATCAAAAATAACAGTAGTTAAGCAGATAATGCCTCATGGTGATAGCGGACATTCTACCAAACGAGTGCAGGTTACGGCGCGCGCCCCACCTACATCTGAGACGAAACCAAGACCAGCGGCAGGATTTCCACTGATAAAAAATACCAGCTTCCACTTCGAGAATGTTAAGATCAGCCGAAAGAACCAAGCATGCTTTTCTGTTGGAAGGACGATTTTCGTGGTATGAAATCGTGAGGGGAAGACTTCCGCGTATTAAGTGGCCGTCGCCATAAACACCAGCCCGAAGGTTCAGAAATGATACATACCCATGGAGAGAAGCTGTAACTGACAGAGAAGGCTCAATCTAAAAAGATCCAAACAGTCAATTGAGCAACACGTCAATTTATAGTGGCGTCGTCATTTGTATCATGGTGCATTGGTACACTGAATTGTCCATAAAAAGCGTCACGGCACACAACGACAATTTGAGCCCAAAAGAGCCGATTCTCTTAAACGATCCCTATAAATCATAGTTGTTTCAGGGTTATATCTGAAGACTGAAGATATAGTAGCCAACCAAAGCCTGCAGAATTGCAAGTAATATTCTGAGGAGAATCTTGAGTTTAAAATCATCTTTTCTAAAAATGAATTTTACACAGAATGAGATTTTCTTGTTGTCTCGATTGAGAAGCACAGCAAACAAAATAAAAGATTTTGTTATCGTCGTTGTGCTAAATACTAATGAAGCTTTTATAGATCATAGTCCGGTGCCGAGAAACCCAAACACTGATGAATAAACTTATAAAAAAAAGAACAAGACAAGTTACTAACCGTAACGTCGTAGCGGAGAGGTGTCAATGTGTTTGACCCAGGGCGAACTTTGAGGGTAAAAGGTATCCATAGTTTGAATTCCACACCAAGGGAGATGATGAATACTGGAACTCTTATGTCCTGTCACAAATTAAACCAAAATTAATCAGCGAAATTTATGAATTAAACCAAAATTAATTAGTGAATTGCTTTGAGTAACTTTTGAAATAACATTGCTTGAACTGAAGGTCCTCTGAGGGTCGTATAATCGTGTCTTACTATGCAGTCACCTCAGATGTGGATTGTACAAATTTGAAAATAGAAAATGTAGAAGCACCGAGTTTCAACTATGTGTCGAAATTAATCCACGTCTAGGAACTTTTACATCATACTCTCCAACAATCAAATGCAAAACTAAAGCAAATTCCGACTTGATCATTTTCCCGTTCCCACCCCTCAGGCAGTTTTCTTACATTTTCCTTTGTCCTCATTGACTGTTTTCTTTACTTTAATTTTGACTTTACGATTTTCAATCGATGAGCACTCCTTTTTGCCTCCGGTCGGTAAGACTGGAATCCAATTTTTATGTTGTAGGACTGCATCTTTTTTTATGATTGCTTGGCAATGAAGGCATATGAAGGGAAGTTCCGGTTTTAAGACATGTTCAAGCTTTGGTGTGACTGCAGTATAAGAAAAATATTCGCCGCTCTTTAAACCTTTGATGGCTCGTCAACATGTTCGACATTTACTTTTGTGACATGTGATGGGATGCGTTAGAACTGTTGGATATTGAAAGCTCTATACACTTACCATTGAAACAGAGTCCCAAAAATAAGTAGTACTCCAATAGGTACTAAAGGATTTGTCGAACAGCGTCCTTGACTTGGATCCCAAACGTAGAATGACTTTTATTCTATTTCTTTCGTCGATCTGTATGTTCGTGAATCTCAGCTTAATTTCTTTGATTTGCAATTCAGCATCGAGTTTTGCGGTAACACCAAAAATTCTCCTTTGAAAGAGTGTTACTGTCCTCTCCTGCGTTCTGCCGAGAGTCTCCCAAAACCTGGTTTGTCTGCGGGTTCGGTTTCCGGAGACAAACGAGTCTACTGTCAAATTTGTTGCTGGCTCATCTGCACCGGCAAAGCTGGTGGTATTTGAGGCACCGGAATCACCAGTAGGTTCTTTCACAGCCTCCCGCTTGGACTCCTTCATTGCGAACTTAACGTCAGATTTTGGTGCAAAGAGCTTTACAAAGCCTCGTACGTTAATATGTAATAATTCATCGTCTTCAAGATAGCTTCTGCGAGATTTCTCATCATCAAGAAGTGTTACGTTACTTCTGAATGTAACGTTCATCGTGCTAGTTGCAGATCCATTCTTGAGTTGAACTGGCTCTCCGAAGTTCAATTGTTCAGTCAAATGAACCTGACTCTTAGCTACCATACCGTTGCTCTTCTTAAGAACGGATGAATCAGCATATGACATGTCTAGGTCGATTTCAGATGTCATATTGGCGACATCTGAACGATTGAAATGATTCTTGATCAAAACTCCGTCGTGTTCCGACGTGTTTGCCTCTCTATGCATCTTCACAATACCGGGAAACAACGAAGATTTTTCAGGTTTTGGCTCAGAATTTGGATCTGGTTTCTCTCCGTCTACACTTTCGAAGAGGTTGCGCTCAACAGTTGGGAGAAGCTGAGTGAGTATGGCTCGCACATAACGAGTGAACTCTGCCGCGTCAGACCTTTGGTTTCCGTATAATTCAAATGATTCGTCTTCCCTAGCGGAGTTGGACGCATCAGACCTATAAAAAAGAAAAACAGACAAATTAGCCTTAGTCAAAAACATCTCAAGTAAGAATTAGCATTACAATTTGTCAGTGAAGAATTGACATTTCCAGTCTCTCATCACTTTTCATAAGAATTAAAACTGTCAGTGGTGAATATCCGCCGCAAAAGGAAGCAGGAGGAAGGAGTAAATCACTGAATCATAACTATGTATCGTTACTTTTGAGTGCTACATGAATGAACGTGCCACCATTTCAAGACCATCAGGAAATGGCACCGCAAACCACCTTGTCATCCTTGATGGAAATGTCGAGGATTCTCATACTTTTCAATTGAAGCTCTTACAGAATTTTAAACGACATTTAGATAATCATCCTGTTTTTGCAATTTCTGTTAAATCATACTTTGTTTGTATGGGTATGAATGTAATACGCGTGATCTGTGTGCATCTGTATGATGTAGCAATGTCAGTTTGCCCACCTTTTGATTAACATACATACATATATATATAAATCTGTCTGATGAGTAAGTAAGCAGACACGCAATTCCGAGTAACAGAAACCATCTTTCGTCTTGTTTGATCGCTACCTACTATATTTAACAAATGGTAAACACCACCGCGTACACTACTGAGTTATGGATGCACGCGGGAGGTTGCTAAGCACGAAAGAAGCGTAAGAGTCGCTCGAGGCGATTGCCGAGAGCGACTCTAGCTTCTTGAGTGCTT